TACAGAGTCTGCCTTGGCAGTCATGACCGCACCATCTGGCAAAATGAAGTTGTCCACCTTCTGGTCATCACTAACAGAAATGTCTGTGAGTGCATTTTGTATGGCTAGGAGACGTTGGGCAGCACAAGTCATTGGTTGTGGTTATGAGAACTCGGCGGGCGAAACTGAGAGCTAAAAGATGTAATCTCAGTTTATACCTATACTAATAACGAGTTAGTAAAATATGTGGCTAATATGAGAGAATACTCACATCTCAGTTGAGATGTTCGTTCGTCACCGTGTATCCTTTATACTACTATGCTAACACGAATTCGGGGTACTAATTCACGGCTAAAATATCTTATCCTTTGAAGCCGGGCATCAGAGAACCTGTGAAAAGAAAATATTGTAATATATAGGAAAGGTTTTTGTCACATTAGAATATACAGCATCAGGAAATCGGTGAGGAGATGGTTTTCCTAGTTGTATTTGGTAATATCAGATCAGAAATTCACGAGATTACATGCAAAAACAAAGGTAGATAAAGTAATATACAAGAAAAACAAACTGAAATCCAAGGATAAAATATGACAAAAAACTTACAATTCAGATGAAAATAGGTCTTGTCATGCAAGTGCACCAGCATTTCTCAGACCGAATGGTAACCGATGGCATCACATTGTAATCCAGCGCATCACAATGCTCGGCCTTAAAGGAAGCTTATGTAAGTGAGCCATCTGAAATTTTTTCGTCAAGTTCAACTTTCTACCGCTACTTCCCTTTCAACCACTACCACCGCTATTGTTATTATTTTGCCCTCTCACTTTTTAGGCCCTCCTCACTCAAGGTCACTCCATGGTTCTTCGTCATGGTCCATCAGTAAACCACTTCGCGCTGTACAGCGCTGCACAGTGTGCAAGCACTACAGCTTGGTCCCAATTAGCCAGTCCATCACAGTGACACCTTGCGCTGTGAATCTCTGTACAGACACCTACAGACCGCCCAGTAATTACGAAATTCCACTTGAATTGCAAATTTTTTCGCTGTCCATCTCTGTACAGACACTCACAGAGCACTCAGAGACCTGGAGCTGTACAGACATTTGCTTGCTGTACTGCTTACACACACTGGACAATGCAAAAAATTTAAAACAAAAAAACAAAACCAATAAATTGAATCACATGACCAAGACATACAGTAGTAAATCACGATCGGGAATACAATGATACAATGCGCCAAGAACGATAAACGCTTGATTGATATAAACGGGGGAGCGGGAATACGAAGCTTCTAGTCAAGAAGAATCTGCAGGTGGTCGTGTCTCGCCTCAACAACTCCTTCGAGATTCATAGCTGCAGCCCTGTACAAATGAAAATCAGTAAAAAAATTATCGGAGAGAAAAGATCCTCACCATCCCGCTGCAGCCCATTCTCGCAGTTGAGCTGACAGCCTAGGCCCATGATACGCATCCTCAAGGATATGTTTGAGCAATTTGAGCATCCGACAATAGACGGGGCCATAGTCCTTGGTGGAAAAGTTTGGGTATGACTTCCCATGTCCGTTTTTCACAAGACCGTCAAAGACACAATTGAACTAGTTTCAAGACAGAAAATTAACACACGACATTGGCGAGGGAGACGAAATTACCGCTGCAGCTACCAAAGCCAAACATGAGAGTGGCAATTCCTTGCTAAAGGTCTCCGGCATCTTTTGTGCGATTTGATATGGTCCTGTGTAAAAGAATATGATGACGGCTTCACGAAGGGCGGGACGAGCGAAGTTTCGTGTTCTCCCCTAGAAATCTTCCATCAGTAGAGTTGCGATCACTACAAGATCACTTACCTGATCGTCCACCCCAAAGCGTAAGAAGAATGCTTCCTTGATCAATTCAGCAGCAGCGTGCTCGACCCAAGCAGCACGTTCCTGAACGGGGACAGAAAGCGGAGGAATAAGCGAATATGATACTGGTGCAATGCTTATGGCAGTTTTCTTCAAGTCATATCGCCAAGTCGAAAGATCATCGTACAGCTTTAATACAGACTGTCAACAAGATATTGGCACAAAGTCAGTTATGCACGCACCAACCGAGTCATATTAAATTTTTGTTCTGGCCAAACCCCTGCATCAGAATATGATATATTAGTTTGAGAACGAATGAGAACGAACAAGTGCCTACCAGCTTCAAATTGTTTACCGTTCATATCCCACACAACCAATACTGCAATGAGAACTTCAGTGATTGTTCCTGGAAGATTCTTCACCAAAGTTGGAAATGGGTTCTCCAGGGCGTGTTGCGCACGACATTCTACTTTGGTGTCCTCCAGAAAACTTTTCCAGCGTGGTCCGTACCAAGATAATTGATTGGGTGTTGGCCCACCACGCGATGACCTGGACTTTTTGATTTTCGATGGCTGAACATCACACTCGGACACTTGATTCAGCAGTTTGAGGGATTCAGGGTCAGGAAGACGTGGCTTTCCATTTTTCTTATGGTGGCATTGCAGTACATTGTCAGGCTTCGAGGTGATGGTCTGCTCGATAATGAGCATCGATTAAAATGGTCTCCCTAATCTCACCTCAATATGTTGGGATGCTTGCCGCTGCAGTCCTGGTGAGATATCCGGAGGGTCCTTGAAAGAAAGGCAATGGTAAGCATGATACAATTGAATGATATGGCCATACCTGAGAGCTTTCGTTCCGCTGGACAAACAATATAAAATGAGAGTTACTCCCGGCTTGAGCAGAAAACTTACCGAGGTTTTATCAAGGCTCATCTGGGCAACTACATCATCTTCATCACGCGAGTACTGAAACTGAATTTCAGGTGTGAGAGGGCGAGCGACTGGAGATTGCGAAGGTGGTACATCCTCCACAAATCCTATAACATTGAATTAGTGAAGTGAAATCACATCATGAGAATGTGTACCTGGGTGTTCTTTCTGGCATCGGCCAGCCTCCCCCCAACCAAACTGCTGTGAGCTCTTGACCATGTCGTCATTTCCCCCCTCCTCCTCATCATCCTCTCCGCTGTCCTCTTCGTCAGCATCTTTATCATCGCTGCCATCGCTGTCATCACTGCTACAGCCTTTAGAGTCACTATCCTCGGATTCAAATGACGTCAGACAACGCTGAGCCCTAACAGTGTCATCATGCTGATGTAGGGCTGGATCTAAATTCTCCTCCAGAAAGACAGACCTCGGCAAAACCGCTGGATATTCAGAGACAGCGTTCTGGGTATGCCGCTCAGCAATTGCATCCCAAGTTCGCTTCTCAGCGATAGCGTCCCGAGCTCATTGCTCGGCAATGGCGTCTCGAGCTCGTTGCTCAGCAATGGTGTCTCAAGCTCATTGCTTGGCAATGGCATCTCGAGCTTGTTGCTTGGAAATAGCGTCCTGAGCGCGCTGCTCAGCGTCCTTCGCCCCAATGGTGACATACGGGTTGTGCAATGCCTGAATATTTGGCTGAGCAGTACCGGAATGAGCTATTTCTGTTGGAGCAGCAAATCCAAACCTTCCACCAGGTTGCTGGGATGTAAAGCTGGGCCCTGTGGCGATAATATCCTTGGCTAGGGCATCTGGAGCATCCCTAACAAGTGAGCTGTAGGGTGGAGGAACTGCCTATGAAATGATCAACATGAGTAACAAAATTAATTAGACGCCTACCTTTGAATGATTCTTTCGACCTTTACGACGCGGTTCTGGGGCTTGAGGATTGACTGGAACATTGGGACCAAGGGACGTCGTACCCTTACGTTCTTGAGTCCGAGGCTTAGATTGCAGTACTGATCCAATCTTCTCCAGTTGCGCATTCCTACCTCCAGTTCCCGCATTAGGGCGACCAGAACACTGGGGAGCATTTTGTTCTGCTTCTGCTCCAGTCAGGCCGAGGGACATGAGGGGTACCATGCTGGGTACCTCAGCAATGTCTGCAGCCCGAGACTTCTTTGGCAAGCTGGCCTTTGAAGCATCGGATCCTTTGTGCTTGCCAGATCGTTTCTTCTTAGGACTGGCGATGGCACGAGGAGGCATGACTGTAATGAAGAACAGAGCAAGAGGTGACTCTGATAAATTATCCCAGACTTACGAGGATTTTATACCATGGCTCATCTGTGTACTACTCAATAGCCGTATGGGTAGCGAGAGAAAACTTCATCATTAACAAGAGTAATAGCCTGAGTAATAAAGAAACATACCACCACGAGGATTGTATACTATCACATCGTACTCCGAATCGATTCACATGACTAGCATGAAAAAACCTTCATTGTTAGTAATAGTACTCATAAGAGAGATTGCCAATCACATAAGCGCAAATGCTACATAACATGAATCATACCAGAACTACTAGTAGTGATACTATATCACATCCTGGCGTACTACTAGTAGTATCTTGATTGTAAAAAGATAAACACTTGAAAAAAGCTTAAAAAGAACGATATAGTCAGAACAACAATATGGTACCGGTCAGTGAACTATAGTAAAAACACAACATAGTAGTACAAGCCAGTGAGATTCTAGAAATACTATTGCTAAAGTTAAACATGCCATTCGTACTAAGTCAGTGAAGAAGAAAAATAGCTGAATACGTGTAATGAGTAGGCTTCACCTCCTGGTCATGCGTCACTGCCCGATGCTGAGTTGGACTCGGTATCACTATGATGAGACTTCTGCCGCTTGGGTGCTACCACAGAGGGAGAGTCTGAAGCAATCCATTTGCCCTTGACACGCTTCGTGAGAATGACAGCATCATTCTTGAGCATGTCCACAGCAGATACGAGCTCCTCGTCATCAGGGAGTTTGTCAAGATGAGAGTTGAGTACAGTGAGAATGGTGTTGAAGGTAACGGGGTGGATCATGTTGTCCACCAGAACTCTATGCCACTCTATTGCGAGGGGGATCAGCTGCTTGAAGTATGGGTGAAATTTGTCTGTGAGATGCTTTTCATCTCCTGGATTCGCGAAAAAGGTGATCTTGAAGGCTGCGCACGATGCCAGGTCAAGGCTGGTCCAACAATCCACCAATGAAGGCATGCGCTCCTGGCACACCATACCATTGGGACCACTAAACTTGATGCAAACCCAAGTGAACACAAAAAAGGGACTCCAGGTCATCCGCATAGCCTTGGATGACGTATGATACAGGTAGCGCCAGAGAATCAGAGGATGATTTTGGGGTTTTGGGTTTGTCGACTGAATTGCGTCCCCAAGTCTCTTCCTTCGTCTTCGTCTTCTTCTTCTTTGATTCCAGGTCTGCCTGCTGCTGCAGGACCACAAATTGATTGAGAAGTCCGCGTGACATGAAAGGGACTGTGCCCTGGCAAATCAATTAATAAACCGAATATTTAATGAATAAGGTGTACTTACTGTACCACCGATGGGATATTTATGATCCGTGGCAATCCGAATGGCAAATTCCCAGTCAATAAGAAACCCTTCACTACCTTCAGGTTCATCTAGGATCATCGTGTTGTTGAGACTACAGTCCCGATGCAAAATCTGACATTCCTCCACCACAGCTTGTTGAACTAACATCAGAGAGTATCAGTCCAAGACACCTGTACCCCAAAGTACTAAAAACTTACTCTCAACGATATCCCTTAGTGCTCGCACAAACTCCTTCAGCATTCGGAACATGTGAAGGGGGCGACCACATGGCTTCAAGACAAGACGTACATGAGTATGACTCGTGCCCCTGGTACTCTGGTGTTCCTTTTGCCGATATTTTTGGGTAACATCAGGATCACCATTTGACTGTTCAACGACCCAATGATCCACCAGCTTTGGAACGCCAGGGACGCCATGCATCAATTCCAGCATCTTGATCTCGTTCAAGACTACATTGTCGTCCTTGCCTACAACCCAATGGTCTTTTATTATGTAGTCTTCATCGTCTAAGGTTGCCAAATAGCAAACGGTTCTGCGACCAACGAGACCTCGGCTCGCAAAAAGAATTCTTTTTATAGTGTAGACCATCTGCCCTACACAGATTTTACCGCAAGGTTCAGGTGATTGAGCGGAGTAAGGGAATTGGGAAGGGAGAGGGGTGACAGAATAGATGCTCTCGGTCATCTCAGCCTGGGGCATTTGGGATGCGAGGCTAAGAAGGGGAGCACTACGGGTTGCAGTGGGGTGCACTGGGGGGAAGGGGGTGGGAAATGCTCTTCGTCCATTGAGTAATGTGTAGCGGAACCGCTCGGACCTCCTTCCGTCAAGTCAGAGTCACTAGAGGAATCATCAGAGTCACCAGCAACTACTGATTCAAGGGCATCACTGGATGACACTCCATCAGGATCCTCGGGAAATGGAAGGGAGGAAGTGGATACAGCAACAGTACAGTCCGTCGTACTTGGTCGGGCAGGAGCGTTTCTAATGGGACGATAGCAGTAGATATCTTTGGATCGGGGTGGTGAAACAATCTTTGAGAATGAAACCGTCAGATCATAGCCGACGCACTCTAGACTCCCAAAATTGATAGCAGCGATGATATGTGAAAATATGTCCGGTTGTTTGTAAATATCGAAGCGAGGAGACACGGCACCACCAGAGTGATCATACATTAGGACTCTAAGGTGGCGATATTCGTCTGTGAATGATAATATGAGAGTAAAGCGCCTCCATGGCTGTTCACTCATCATAAGATAGGCATGAGTATCTGCAGCCTTCCCGAGTCACATCGCAGGCCGGTATCGACTGTGAGTGAGTTCAGCTGATACCCTGATGTTCCCCCACTTTGCTGATATATCATCAGATAGAATGAGATCTGGCTTGCACTTGATGTCGCTGCCAGGTAATGCCTTCTGTGCACTGGCTGCGCTCCATGTGCTGGTTGCAAAGCACATTTCTACTAGTTTGGGCTGTGACACTGCTAAGCAGCCAGCCAGAGCATTGAGAAACACAGCAAAGATTTCTTCGTGAGTTGCTTCCTGCATATCATCGTCCTCTGACTCGCCCTCCGAGTCTGCGCCCTGAGCTGAACGACTACTACTGGCATTTTTAGGAGGGTCAACTGGAAGAGCCCAGTTCCAAGCCTTTGCTTCAGTATCGTACAGTGGCACAAGAGTATCAGGCAATGTCCCACTGAATTTCTCGTTGATGCATTGGTTGCGATAAAGGATTTTCCGAATGGGATTTTAAGGCTGAATACATCGGGAAGAGGAACCGTGAAAAACTGAAATATTTTGGAGAGCAGGTGTCCCAGTGGTTGTGAGGCCTCTGGTGAACCCTCGTGAGTGACCAGACGATTGAGCTTGTCAGAGGTGATCTTGTTCATCATATGGACGTCAGTGACATTGGGGATAGACAACAACGAGGACAATTTGATTCCGTTGTCAACGGTCCTGAAAAAGAATGCCATTTTCTCGTACACGGACAATAATGGGACAAACGACAAGCTTATCGCCACATAGCGCCCATCAAAATTCAGTACTCAGTTCGGTGATCTAAGAATAAAACAGACTAGAATAACTACTGGCATAGGCTAGACCACTCGACCATCACGAACGTTGCATAGTATGAAGCTACACCAAAAGCTACATGGAAAGGGGAAAATATACATTCTTATCCCAATACCTGTTGAGCCAAAACTGAGAAGCATGTTCCATGCTATTATATGGGGTGAGACGGTTGTCCGCACTTGCACCAAAGCGAGGGACAAGGTTGACAGGTGCTCTGAGCTGGGTCACAGGTATGACATCACCCACCCAAGTGCCAATTCGAACGTTTCGCTTGTTTGAGCAAGTGGAGCTGCGTACTTGGCTCATGATCATCAGCACTGGAGCTTTGAGAAACAATGTCAAAGCGATGCACGTAAACCAGAAAGTGGTCCTTCCATGACCAATTTGTGCCACTTTTTCCAATGGCACGCATGATAAGCCTGATTTGGCCAATCGTATGACCTGCGACTTGACAATAAGTAAACATTCAGTATGACATAAGATCATAACGTACCACAAAGGACCATCTTCTGGCCATAAGTACCTCGCCTCGTTGTTAATGACGACTGTGTCATACTGGCCGGATGTCCAGGGATCAGAAGGAGGTGCACAATTGAGGGTCTGCGCAGGCCGTATGATGCTAGCATCGTGGAAATCGGTGTCCTGCACCCGAAGTTTAAACCAGACTTGAAGTTTGTCGAAGGGAAGTGAAGCAGTAGGTCCAGCTCTTCTAGCCCCCCCAATAGTATGTATGTGATCCCTCCTGTGAGTAGCCTCACGATGAAGAAAGTCGGCAATAGCTGGTCGTAAGTCAGGAAGACCAACTTAATGGCAGCATCGTCAACAGATATAGTCTAATAGAAGGGTCATAGGTG